AGGAGTGGAATTGATGGTCATATGGCAATTGTATGCTTAACTTATTCAGGAATCTCTAAACTGTTTTCCATAACAACTGCTCCATTTTACATTCCTACCATGTTTCCAGTTTCTCCTCATCCTCACTAATTTGTTATTCTCCTTAATTATTACTATTATTATTAATGCCATCCTAATGGGTGTAAGGTGGTATCTTATTATGGCTTTGATTTATATATGCTAATAGATAATGATGCCAAATATCTTTTCATGTTTATTCACTATTTATGCATCTTCTGTGAAGAACTGTCTATCCAGATATTTTGACCATTTTTAATTGGGGTAGTTGTCTTTATTGTTGACCTATAATAATTCTCTATATTTTGGAGACTAGATCATTATCAAATAAGTGATTTGAAAGCATTTCCTCCTCTTCTATAGATATCTTTTCACTTCTGTGCTGGTGTTGTTGAAGCACAAAAGTTGTTTGGCTTTTTAAAATTTTTGATGAAGCTCAATTTATCTGTTGTTTCCTTTAGTTGCTTATGCTTTTAGTGAAACCATTGCCAACTTCAAGGCCATGAAGACTTATACATATGTTTCCTACTGCAAATTTTATAGTTTGAGCTCCTACTTTGGATCTTTTTTTTAATGTGGCACAAGGTAAGGGAGAAAATTCCTTTGCATGTGGATATCCAGTTATTCCAACATTTGTTGAAAAGATTATTTCCCCCACTGAATGGTATTTGTACCCTTGTTGAAAATCAATTGGCCACGGATGTCTGGGTTTATTTCTGGACAGTTTTATTTCATACACCTACATTTGTCCTTATACCAGTAGCAGACTATCTTGATTACTGTAGCTTTGTAGACATCAAGACATGTGGACCCTCCAACAATCTTTTTCAAGATTGGTCTGCTATCCTGGTCATCTTTTCAATTTCTACAAAGAATCCAGCTGTCATTTCCCCCACATAAGTTTTTCACTTTTTACTAAGTTTATTCCTAAACAGTTTTTTATGTTAAACATAAATGAAATGTTATTAGTTTAATTTTCAGATTGTTCACTGCTGGTGTTGGGAAATAACATTATTTTTAAAAATTTTTGCAATGCTAGGGATCAAACCCAAGGCCTCATGTGTGCCATGAGCTAATTTTTGTATATTCATCTTCATACTACAACCTTGCTGAACTCATTTGTCCTAACACTTTTATTTTGTAATTCCTTAGTTTTTTTTTTTTTTTTGGGGGGGGGGTTGTGATAGAACTCGGGGGTACTTAACTACTGAACCACATCCAAGGGTTTTGGGGTGTGCATGTGTTGTTTTTTGAGACAGGGTCTTGCTAAGTTGTTGAGGTTCTTTGAACTCTCCATCCTCCTGCCTCAGCCTCCTGAGCTGCTGGGATTACACTTGTGTACCACAGCACCTTGCAGGATTTTCTATATAAAAACATCATGTCATCTGGAATACACTTCTTTCATTTCCTGTTTTCCTACCTTAATACCCTAGCTCAAATTTCTAACACAGTAATGAATGAAAGTGGCAAAAATTGGTGTTCTTGTCTTATTCCTTGACAGGGGAAGCCTGTAGCCCTTCATCTAGATTGTTAGCTGTGAGGTTTCCCAAGTGCCCTTTATTTGGTTGAGCAATTCCCTTCTCCTCCTAGTTTTTTTTTTTTTAATAACTAAAGATCATTGGATTTTATCAAATTAACTTTATGTGCCTATTAGGATAATCATGCTTGGGGGCTGGGGCTAAAGCTCAGTGGTAGAGCACTTGCACATGGGGTTTGATCCTCAGCACCAAATTTTAAACAAAGTTATTAAAAAAAGATAATCATGCTTGTTTTTCCATCAATATGGTGTCCCAGTTTTTTTTTTTAAGCTGAAACCCTAGAAGGATGCCCAACATATAAAACAGGGTGGGGGGGCTGCTATGGTGCAGGCAGGGAGGACTGGGGCTGCCAAGCTGGCTCACTGTCCATTCCCTCCCAGGTAGCCTTGAGCTCCACAGAAAACTAAGCAGGGAGCCAAGAACAGCAAAGCAGCCCCCATGGCTCTTATCCAGAACTCCTTGTTGGGCCTGGCTCTGTCAGCCAACTAAGCCCCGACCCTCAGCCTCAGGGAGCCCTGGTTGGCAGGGCTGGCTGATTACAAGTACCCAGCCACTTTATCAAACAGCAGCCTGTTAGCATCCTGCAAATTGCATATTTATCCAGGCACGGAGCTCCAGAGCCAACTCCCGCTTACTCCCCTGGCTAAAAGGTTAATCTAGGGGTCTTGGAGTCCTTCACACTTGGCATTTGGGATATCATTCCACTAAATGTTAATAATAGTTCAGATCAACGGTTACAAACAATAGTGTTGGTACCTTCTAAAATACCCATTCTCACCAACCAAATCCACAGAGGCCCAATAGCTCAAACAGATTACAGACAGCCCACTGATTACTTTTTGAGAAGACTGATTAAGAAACTTTATTACAGAAAATGAATGCATCCAACGTCCCCAAGTACATTTGTGACAAAAACAGACACAAGGGAGACACAGACAATAGTTGCTACATTACAGCCTTGTTCTTTCCAAAAGACAAAACATTACTCAAGAACAGGGTAAGGGGGTTGGAAGAGAGTGTTTAAGAGAAAAAAATACTGTCCTTTTGACTTAATAACAGGTTGGCATTGCAAGAGGATTGGTCCAGAAATCAAGCTAAGCCTAACCTTTTGTGGTAACATCATGCCACTTAAAAGCATCTCAGAGAAGCTAGAGAACAACATTCCACTGGGGCATCTAGTGGCAGTGTGTAAACCTTAAGAGTAGTGGTCTTGTAACAAGCAACTGGAGTCTCTATAACCAAGTCTGCTTAATCAAACATCATTTAGCTAAATACCTACCCCCACTTCTATTTGGCTACTGAGGGAGCATAAAATCCACCCCCACCTATAGTTAGAAAACTACTTCCTTGGGATTACTGGTTGAGCATCTCTTCCATATCTGATGAGGTTGGCCTGTACATTGTGCATTGTGCAGTAGTAGCAGTTTCAGTTTAGAATGCCAAGTGACAAGGGCATGGCTAAAGCAGGATGAACAATCCTGGAACAAGTGCCTCTGGGCAAAACTAATGACCAAGGGTTTTTAAATTAGTGGAAGAATTAAAAAAAAAACATATTTAGGACAAACAGTTCTGATGGAGAGGGAATGGTTATGAATGAAGATCAGGCTGTGACCATGACTTGCACTCATCTAGGACCTGACACAGTAAAGACAGCTCCTTAGACAAGCAAGGTT